TGACGTGGTGGGCTAAAAACCACGGTCTTTAGAAGAGCAAAAACCATGACTTTGGCACCAGCTTTAACAGCAACCACTCACGCAGACGGAAAACTCAGTTGCTAATGAGCTCTCTATTGGCACGCTGGAGCCTATTTCCGTAGAGCACATTCGTTTCTTTCACATCCACCAACTGTATTTTGTTGTGGTGAAAACTTTCTGTATGACGTATAAGTAGCCAGGAATCCTTACTTAGCATCATTAATCAGCCCACAACTTTAATAATAGCATTGGCCGCCTAAAATGCACCCATTTTCATTCACTGTGACCTTACCTACTTCCTCTGATTACTTGACAATATTTCAAGTTTACTTTCGTACTTCGTATCGTGAGAGGAAACTATGAAAATTGAATGGCTACTCTGAGAGTTGAAGGCATTTTGTAGACAATTGTCAGTACAAATGGTAGACACCCCTAGGAAGACCAGGCTGCTTATTGGGTTCTGAAAATACTTAAAGGATTCTTTTGTTTTAATCACTATTTTCCTGCATAGGCGATAAAATCATGGCCTAGACTGTTTCAATAGAAAGTTCTAGATCTCTAGTTTATTGGAATAAGTGATGGTTAGTTTTCCTAGGGTGAGATTTCATAGCATTGCTTGAGGGTGACAATTGGAAGAAATGGTCGCTCGTAAATCGACTTAGGTGAAAAAAAGGAAGCGACTCGGAATTAATGTTTTTTTATCTTCCCTATGTCCATACATGCTTTTATAATGTGCAAATGGTTTTTGAAATGTAAGAGAAGTGTGGAAAAGTAAACTTCGCAATAGATTTTATGCTATGGACTACATTTCGGACAAAAGCTCGTGCAATATCACCAACTTCACACAAAAACCCTTGGAGCACGCATATCGCTTATCCACACCCACCCCGCAACCTATGCTCTGTTGAAGTATTGATCGATCGCAAAGAGAAGGCATATTTTGGTTTATAAGGTAGGATTTATTTATCTAAGAACTAAAAGGTCTCACAGGCGGGAAGGCTGGCTGTGGTCTAAAAAATTAGGTAACAATCATAAGCTAAATTATGATCATGTTTCCTTTGATCCGTAAATAGGGACACTATCCTGCAACACTACGGTGCCCATCCGACATCGGTGAATGCCGTTATAACCGAAGCCATCCTTCACGATATTTCGGAATACCTTGTAATGCATGGTCTCTCTTATTGACCGCCAGATCGGTCGCTCTCCAATTTTTTCAGCTATCTAAGCTATGAGGTGTCAACAGTTTTTAGAAATTGCTCTGTTGATACAGTGTGTTCGCGGGAGAAGTTCTTCCCGCAAAAATGAACTTGTTTTATTACTATATTCCTGGACAAATATAAAACGTTGTTTACTTAGTTTCCTACTGAAAAATGGCTTCATTATTGTCGTCTTCCGATGAAGTCCGAATTCTTGGATCACCTTTCTAATTATATGCTGGGATGACATGGAAAAATGTTTCCTGTGAATAATCCTAGCGGGAATAGTCCTAAACACTGTCCTCTTCTATCTCTCCCCTAGGCTCTTTCAGCTTACCAAGTGCGCCAAGCAGCTTGAGGCAGCTATACGCCAGCTAGCTGATCGAATAACGGACGTCGCCATCGAACACTGCATTTTGGTGACCCTGCAACCTCCGAGAGCATCAATGTCCGCACTTATGCGGCGCCTCGAGATCGGAGCGGAAGATTATACGGAACCAGCGATCCCATCTCCAGTGGTTAGCTGGAGAGATAACATGCACGCTCTTTGGGACATATTTAACACCTTTTGTCCGGCCGGCCTGGCACGA